TCAACCTCCATCCCAAAAAGCATCCCAGAGGTACGACTCGACCCTCACTCGAGGAGCTCCTGGTGCATCCTTTCCAACTTCTTGAAGGTGGGCGTCGGGTACATCCTCCAGAGGGGACCCGTGAACTCGCAGGCGTTGAGGGTCCTGAAGAGGTCGCCGACGATCTGGATGATCTTCAAGGGCTCGGAGTCCGGGGCGAGGGCGGGGTCCAGGCAGCCCAGACGCCGACTCAGCGCCACCACGCTCACCGCTGCAGAAGGCGGCGACGGCGGTTAGAAGGGGGAGAGGGAAGGAGGGAAGGAGGACGCAGAAGGAAAACAAAGAGCAAAACAGAACTATGTATGTATAGTATACATATACATACATTTCATACGCGTATATACGACATATATATATATATATATATATATATATATATATATATATATATATATATATATATATATATATATATATATATGTATATACATACACATACACATAACAATGATAATGAAAATGGTAATTATAATAAATAAAAATGATAATGATAATTATGATAATAATATTGATGATGATGATCACAACTAGAAGTGCTCAGAGGGTGCATACCTCCGCCAAGGCAAAAGGGTCACTGATGCAATGAGAATATTCGCACTTAATTAAAATCACCTTTCTTGAGTGCACTGGTGACGTCCGTAAACATAACCGCCTTGGCGAAGGTAAGAAAGGTAATGGTAATAATAATAGTCACCCCTGTTGCCAAGGTAACTTTTTGAGTTACCCTGCTAACCAACCAACCAACTAATTAACCAACGCTACCAAAAACCTGTTGGCGGAGGTAATAATAACAACATGTACTCATCACAAAACACACACACACACGCACAAACACACACGAACACACACACACCACACACACACACACACACACACACACACACACACACACATACACACTAAATATATATATATATATATATTATATATATAATATATATACATTACATACATATACATACATACAATACATACATATACACATACACACACACACACACACACAACACACACACACACACACACACACACTCACTCACTCACTCGCACACACACACACACACACACACACACACACACACACACACACACACACACCACACACACCACATATATATATATATATATATTATATATATATATATATATATATATATATATATATATATATCCCTCTCTCTCTCTCTCTCTCTCTCTCTCTCTCTCTCTCTCTCTCTCTCTCTCTCTCTCTCTATATATATATAATATATATATATATATATATATATATATATATATATATATATATATATATATACATACATATATATATATATATATATATATATATATATATATATATATATATAATATATATATACATATACATACATATAAACCCACACAACCCCTACAAAAGCCACGCGACGCCCAAGGACCATCCCAAGGATTCGAGTCCCAAGTGACGCAACGGAGCCGCCGCCGAGAGCCTCCACCGCCAAAAGACGAGGCTCACCACGGACTCTCGTGACTTACACTCGAGCGCCCACTTGTACAGCTCCTGCAGGAAGTCTTCGGGCATCTCTCCCAACTCCTCCTGGAAAGACGCCATTCTGCAAGGAGGAGTGAGGGGAGTGTCTTTGTGTTGAAGTTGATCATGCTCGTTTGCAATCGCATCCATTATATGCATATTTGTAAATATATGTATATATATGCGTATCTATATTTATACATATATATGTAATATCTATCTATCTATACACATATATACATATATCTCTATCTCTATCTCTCTATCTTTATCTATCTATCTATATACATATATCTATATCTCTATCTCTCTATCTTTATCGATCTATCTCTCTATATACTATAATACATATATCTATATCTCTATCTGTATCTTTATCTATTATCTATCTATCTATCATTATCCATATATACATATCTATATCTAATATCTCTCTATCTTATCTACTATCAATATACATATATACATATATTCATATCTCTATCTCTCCTATCTTTATCTATCTATCTATCAATATACATATACAAATATATCTAGTTCTCTATCTCTATCAATCTATCTATCTATCAATCAATATAGTATATATATAATCTATATATCTCTCTCTATCTCTCTATTCTTTATCTATCGATCTATCAATATACATTTATACAATATACACCATATCTATATCTCGTCTATTTTCTCTATCAATCTATCTATATATAAAATATACGTATATCTATATCCTATCTCTCTCTCTCTCTATCTATCCATTTATCTATCAATATACATATATACATATACCTATCTCTCTCTCTCTCTCTCTCTATCACTCTCTATCTATGTCTATCTATCTATATATCTATCTATCTATCTACATACGGTCAGACCTGCGCCCCACCTGTCCATGAACTGCCGCGTGATGGCGTCCACCTCCGGCAGATAAGCCTCCACGTTCTTGCGTCTCATCATCGGGGTCTGGACGCCTCTGCGGACGCGCCACCACTTGTCGCCTTGCCTGGGGGTAGAGGGGAGAGGAGGAGGAAGGGGGGGGTGAGTGATGTGCGAGATGCGAAGTTGGAATGCGGGAGGCGGGAAGGGGGGGTGGGTGGAGAAGGGGGAGGAAGGGGAAGGAGGAGGCAGGGGGAAGGAGCGGGAGAGGAAGGGGGAGGAAGGCGGAGGAGGAGGAGGGGGAAAGGAGGAGGAGGATGAAGAAGGAGGGGAGGAAGGAAGGGGCGAGGAGAGGAGGAGGCGGAGGAAGGGGAGGAGGAGGAGGGAAGAAGGCGGGGGGAGAGGAGGAGGAAGGGGGGAGGGAGAGGAACGGGGGAGGGGAGGAAGGGCGAGGAGAGGAGGGAAGGGAGGAGATAGGGGGAGGAGGAAGGGGGAGGATGGAGGAGAAGGGGGATGGAGTAGGGAGGCAGGTTAAGTAACGGGGAGGAGGAGGAGGGGAGGAGGAGGAAGGGGGGAGGGGTGGGGAGAGGGAGGAGTATATAGGATGAGGGAGGAAGCGGAAGGGGGGGAGGGGGAGGAGGAAGGATAGGGGGGAGAAGAAAGAATGGAAGAAGGATAAAAGGAGAAGCAGAGAAGTGACAGAAGAGAGAATAATAAAAGAAAAGGAAAGAAGAAGAAGAAGAGATAAAGGAAGAAGAAGAAAAGAAATGGAAGGGACGAAGAAAAAGAAGGAAGGATGGAGGGAAGAGAGAAGGGAGGAAGGAGAGGAGTATGAAGAGAAAGTGAGAGAAAGCGAGAGAGAGAGGAAGAGGGAGACGTACGAGAGGAGAGAAGAGGAGAGAGAGAGAAAGAGAAATGAGAAGAGAAGAAGATAAGAGAAGAGAAGAGAGAGAGAGGAGAATGAGAGATGAGAGAGATGAGAGAGAGAGAGAAGTAGAAAAGAAAGATGAAAGAGAAAGAGAAGAGAAAGGGAGAAAGGAGAGAGATGAGAGAGAGAGAGAGAGTCATGATTAAAAGAGAAAACTATGAAAGTGAGGAGAGCAGGACGAGAAAAGGAAAAGAAGAAGAAAGACACGAAAGAAGAGAGAGAATGAGAACATCACCCAAATCACCGATACAGTACCAAGTCTGTCAACCAGGCCACACACTAAAAAATAATTAGAATGAATTCTCGAAATACCCAACACAAAAATTATACCCGCCCGAGGGATGCCCTGTTACTTCCGTCATGCAGACCGCCGTTCTTGTGCGATAGAATAAGTTCTCCAGGCCGGCATCTCTTCTCGGACTTTCTCTCCTCCTCTTCTTTTCTTCTTTTGAG